TGTTGATGTGTTCATGCGTGCACATCTGCTCACAGACTCATGTTCATGTTTGTGCTGATGTTCAATGTTTTATGTTATGAGTGCTTAGTGTATATTTAGTTGATGTTTTTCTTAGTTCATATCTTAGATGTTATTACTGTTTTTCTTTTACATTTTATTGTTGGATGTAACTGGGACCCTGTGTACATAATTTCGCTCCACCACATGTACCACATGAGGTCCCAAAGAAAATAAAAAATCTCTGACTCTCTGACTGATACACCGATGGGACACACATCGGTGGCATTTAGGGGTTCAGTGTCTTGTCCAGGGACACTTCGACATGTGACTGCTGGTGGAATCAAACCCCCAACTCTTGCATTGGAGGGAGACTGCTCTAACCACTCAGCCACAGCCGCCTCACAATAAACATATAATATAATCAATTGTGCAATGTGGTTTGATAAGAATCTAAAATATTCTCATTAAAATTGTTTCTCAAGCAAATTATTACAGGTAATTGTTTCTTAAAAATTTGAATAAACCAACATTATTTAAGAAAAAAAATACATCACTTGCTTGTCCTCGCATGATACATTATAAGGCCAACCAAAAAACCACAGACACAAAAACAAAAAAGATTTTCAATAAAGTGAGAAGTAAACTTTACATATCCAGTAATATTACATAAACACATAAATAATAAAATGGCATCACTGTACGGAAGCTGTGATTTAAAGTAAACTTACCATCAAAAATTTGAACCATCGTAAATGAAGATTTGAGTCTGGGAAAGTATAAATGTTCAAAATAGAACATGTGAAGCAATTAATGAGATTTCTAAGAGCCCATTTAAGGTTTTTTCTCTTCTTTGCACATTTCAAACATTATTACATAGCTGTCTTCGTTACCACATAAAATATTACTGACACAAATTATGAATATCAGATCTAAAACAAAAAAAAACAAACATAGAAACTGGAATGAGTATCTTTACTTTCCCCCCCTAATATTTACCTGAGGAATATGCTGGTGTGGAGTCTCATTCATTTAGGACAAAATCATCTTAACAAATTGAATCTAAAGCAACTGGCTTTATTTCAAGCATTTTGCTTTTTATCTGAGAAGGTTTAGAATTACAACTGAAAATAATCTAGACGTCTTTGATCCAGTTTTGTTCAGTTTATCTGAGGAGTGCGTTCTTGTTTCAGAGTTTAAAAACACTTATTTTTGATCCAGGGGTGGTGCCAGCTGCAGGTGTTAAACTGAAAAGAAAGTCCCAGAACGGGTTCAGTCAGCTGGTGGGCCAGAGTTTCACACAGCACCAGAAACAATTGTCGTTATTCCTGCATCTACAACACACATGCACGGAGAGAACATGCAAGCTCCACCTAGAACGGTCTCTGGCCAGGATCTGATCCAGCAACCTTCTTGCTGAGAAGGCTACCAAATGAGCCACAGTGCTGCCCACTTACGAAGAGGGGAAACACTCTCTGTCAGTCTGTGCATGTTGTCAGTATATCTTGGAACAATAAGTGAGATACCAACTTCCATTTTGGTGTGTGGCTACATCTAAGTATTGTCAGGGTTTCTGACAGAGCAGGGCAGGAGTGAACCCAATAATGCAGGGAAAAGTCAGGACTCCAGGATTTACAAAAACAAATACTCTTTAATAATAATAAACCAAAAAGGCTGACGTGGCAGCATCTTACAAAAAACAGGGAATCAGATCAGGCTGGCAGGACAGAACAGGACTATACCCAACAACGACACGACAAAGGACAAGACTCACAGACAGACATATACAGAGACAGGACAGGACGTAATTACAAACAGCTGGGACCAGACAAAGGAGAAATCAATCAGGATAAATGAGACACAAGGGTGCACAGACAGAGAAGGCCCACAAGAGAGCGTCATCCCTACAAATATAAGAACGGTTTCTTTTGAAAATTGGATTCTCATGCCAAAATCCAAGATGGCTGCCACCATAAATTTCTGTGCATGTGAGCATGATAACTTGGAAAATAACTAACTTCCATTGTGATGTGTGGCTGCATCTAGGCATTAAAAAAGTCTATGTCAAAAATTGGGTTGCCATGTCAAAATCCAAGATGGCCACCACCACAACTATACTGTACTGCCAACCCTGTCATTTGAGTTTCTTTTCTTTATTGCTTAAAAGTATAGGTTCTTCAAGTGATTGGAGTGACCAAAGATTGAAATATGGTGGCCAAGGCAGACAGATGAGCAAAAACAAAAAACCCCAACTATGTCTGTTCTTATACACAGTTTAACTTCTACCCACTTGAATATCTTGCACCAAAATCATTACGGTTTACTTGCATTCAATTTCAGAAAAACACTCATCTCAAAAACTACAAACATTTTCTATTCAAATCCCTCAACAATGGGAGACATCGGCTCGTTGCATTTTCAGTTAGTGACTTTCAAGCCCTAAACAGATTAAAAATCAGATATTAAATCTGCTGCTCGTTCAGATCCTATCTATCAACAGTTTCACATGAACTAAAATTATTTGAAACATGCAATTTAAATGCTGAAAAAGCAATATTCACAAAAAAAAAAAAACGTTCTCTCTCTCTCTCTGAATAATATGTATCTGCACATGACCCCAAGATATCACCCTAAAAGGAATACATTTGTCCATTTAACCAATGAGGCATTAGAGTTGCCTGGAGAAATAAAAATAAATCCTGTTATTTGTAGTTTACTGCATGATCCCAGCAGCCAGTAACTCTTCCAGCACGTGCGGACATGTAGTACATGTAGATAGATATGAAAAGAACAACGCCTTCAGTTTCTCTGTGAAGTGCACGTAGGAGAGCAGCTGCTCGCAGTGTGGAAACAACTGCACTCAAAACTGAGCCAAGCTCCGTCTTCGTGAACGTTTCAAGCTGGTCCTGTCATTGTTTGTCTTCTTTACTCCTCTGCAGGTGCATGGTCGTTCTCCGTGTCGGAGCTAGCAGCTCCAGGAGTGGAAGTGGGCCGTCTCTCTGCCACAGATTCTGACCTGGCAGAAAATGCCCAGCTGGAGTTTTCCATCCTGGACACAGAGGAGGCAGACATTTTCAATGTAACCAGAAGAGGCAAAGAGGCTGTCATCATCCTGAACAAGGTGATCGGCTCTTGACCCAGTATAAACAAAGCAGCTGACTCCAGCTGTTAGAGGACAACTTTTCATGCACACGACGTTCTGAAGGTCATGCTTAAGTGGGCACTTCTTCATTCAGTCCAACATTTCACACACCCTCTCTTGCTGATCCTTTCTGACCTGCAGGGCTTTACAGTGAGAGTTAATGAGAAATGATGATATGGAGCAAAACTGCAGCTCATATTTGAAGTGAGCTCTCATTAAAAGCAGCCAGGGTGTCGCTGTGTTCTGGTTTTGGTGGGATTTTAAACCAACGTGTGTTTAGTCTTCAAGCTGTGGAATATTACGTTTAGAGTGGGAAAATATGCAGCTTTAATAAACTAGATATAAAAAAGTAGTCTCACATGGAAAATATGAGCTATACAAAGATAAATATCTGAGATAAAACTATCCTTAAAGACCTATGTTCTTAAATGAACTCCTTGTGAATTCTCTTCAGCTCTGACTCACCAGCTTTTAGCTCAGTATCTGTAAAAATGGCTGAGCCGTTTGTCTTCTCTAATGTCAGCCGGCTGTGATAGACATCTTCAACTGGGATTGCTTTATGCAAATTTGATTAAAACATGTCCAGTGGTTCACAAGATATTTTGGTAGTAGACAGCCACATCAAGTTTCATATGCCTGTCTATTACCTATACACATAATTTATTCTTCCATTGTTTTGTTTCTTGGCAGAAGGTTGTAGCTTTTTCTTAGAAGGCTTCACTTTCTGTTCTTCAGTCACAGACAGGACAAAACATCTTTCACCTGAGGGATAAATAAGTCAAAGTATTTTGCTCTGTGAGTTAGAGATATACAGCATGTGCTGTGCATATTATGCATGAATAGGAAGAGCTTGTTGAAGTAAATCCTGCTAATTGTGACTTTAATTTTCACCCAACAGCTTCTGGATTATGAAACCCGCAACTCATACACTTTCTCCGTAGAAGTTGTTAATCCCATCACGGATCCTAGATTCATTAGGAAAGGACCCTTTAAAGACCAGGCAACTGTCCGAGTCATGATCCTGAACGCTGACGAGCCACCACGGTTCTCCCAGGCTTTATACCACCTGGATGTGTCTGAGAACTGCCCCCCTATCTGCTCTGTGGGCCGAGTCTATGCTGTGGACCCAGACACGGGACAAAGCAGCAACATCAGGTAGGGTTGTAGTTCAAAATATTGAGCCATATCCTTCTTTACAGGTGTGCTCTCGTCTTGGCTGTTGGATGAGCTGCAGCATCACCGCCTCCAGCTCTCCTCTGTGAGATGAGCAGGGAGAAGCAGTGCATTCACACATGAAGACATGTTCCTCAAAGTTCACAACAAAAAATGCTATGTATAAATGATAATAAGTGTGATGTGGGAGATCAGCTTCCCCGTGTTTCGTTGGTACATACTGCACATGTGGAAACTCAGAAACCCAGAGAGGAAAGCTGTGAATCAAATATTCTGCTTTAAAAGTTGAATCATTACTGCATCATGGAGTCATTTCCAAAATACAATTGTAGCCTGAAAAAAATCCCTGTCATAAAGCATTTAGAAAAATAAAAACCATTTGTGGTTAAAACAGATTTTATAGAGCCCTGCGGTATAATTAAAGTGCACTATGCAGCTGATTTAATTGTGTGAACGCTTCTAAAACATTCTCACTGAGGTCCATTTTTCTTCTGTGTTCCTTTTATCAAATAACTTGTTCATCAATTTTTGAGCAGTTTCAACAATTTATTTAATAATTCTGCTTTTTCCAGCTCTTTTTGTGTATTTTTCTGCTCATTTGAGCCCTTTTTTCTGCTTTTTGGTGCTAATTTTGATCTTTTGTTCTCATTTCAGCCTATTTCTGCTCATTTAGCTTCTTTTTTTGCCTTTTTTGCTACATTTTTGTAAATTTTTTCTCCTCATTTCATTTTTTTATTGATAATTTCAGAGTTTATTGCTAATCTCTTCAGCCTCTCTCTGCTTGTACAGCTTTTTCTGCTCATTTCTGCTATATTCGGATTTTCCCACACAGTTCAGTCAACTCCCATTAACAGTTTAGTGAAGAAACCTTTTCAAGCTGGTTTCAACTTCTTCAACTGCAAAAATCATTCAGCAATAAGAATTCACAACACATTTTTGTAGAAAATGCAATTTCTCTACTTTGTGCTTATTATTTTATACCATAGTCTACATGTGAAAAAAATACATTGTATCCAGGTCCTCTGAACAGATTCTTCTTTGTTGAAACATTTCATCTTTTATTCAAAGGACTTCTTCAGTCTGAGGAGCTGCAACAAACTCAGTCTTATAAATAGCACCTTCTCGTAGTGGATCACCCAGTTTGTTGTTGACATCCAGAACTAACTGTTCACATCCAAAAAAGGTCCCTGCTCAATAATCCAGGTATACAATCCAACAATTTTCAGTCAGGTCATCTGGACAGTTTCTTTTTTTGCTGAAACGTTTCACCTTGTATCCAGAAGGCTTCATCACTTCATCACATAACTGTTCACATGATCAAGGAGGACTATCAGCCTAATGACTGATCGTTAGTGCCCTGATGGCTGCTTGCTATTCACAGGGGGCTGAGTGATGCTAACAATAACAGCATTGTTACTGTTGAACACGGAGGCTCCGCCCCTCTTTAATGATGGATGGTTTCTCTTCACAAAGATTATATTTATAAGACTGAGATTATTTGCAACTCCTCAGAATGACAAAGTCTTTTGGATAAAAGACTAAACATTTCAACAAGAAGAATCTGTCCAGAGGACCCGACATTACTTTGTTGGATACATTTACAGTTATTTTAAGAAAACTTTCAGCAGGAGGGTATCAAGGAACTGTTATATTTAAAACAATTCACTGTTCTTTCAGAGCCTTAAATGTTTTCATTCTTAATGAATATCCATCCATCCATTATCTTTTACCTGATTTTTCCTTTTCGGGTCACGGGGTCACTGATGCCCATATCTAACAATCACTGTGCGAGAGACCGGGGGCACCTGGACAGGACTCCAGTCCATCACAGGGCAACTTAATGATTTTTTTTTCTTCTTTCGGCTGCTCCCTTCTTCAGGGGTCACCACAGCAAATAAGTCGCACGAAGACTTGGCAGTTATTTTTACGCCGGATGTCCTTCCTGACTCAACCACAGATCACTGAGCTACCACAGCCTCTGTGTGGAGCAGAGAGCTGCATCTAGGACACCCGGAGGAGCAGATTCAATTCAATTCAATAATACTTTATTAATCCCAGAGGGAAATTATTTGTTGTTGTAACTCGTTATCCTCATTTCATTAAGAGATGTTATAGATGCTGATGGCTGTAGACAGGAAGGATCTCTTGTAAAGGTCCATCCCACAGTGGATCATAAGAAACTGGTTGCAGATGCCGTCTGATCCGTCCACCCAGACTCGGCTGGCCTCTCGGTTCCCCCGGGCTGTAGGACCGCCTGAATGCTGGGCAGAACTCCTCCCAGAGCGATGGCCACTCCTCCCAGCAGTCTGCTGAGCTCCTCGTCGCTGCGGACAGCCAACTATAGGTGTTGAGGGACGATCCTGTCCTTCTACTGTCATGAGCCGTGTTTCCTGCTAGTTCCAGGATCTCAGTGGTCAGGCACTCGAGCACAGCTGGCAGGTAGATGGGAATGCGTCCACAGAACATCCTTTTCAACTCATTTGAGGTTTGGGGCTGTAGTTGAGATATTATTTGATCTTTTCAGATGTTAATCAGCTGCTGTTGGTTGTAGAAAACTGCCTTGTTGCCATGGTTACGCATCATAACAAATGTCCAAAACTAAAAAAGTTTCAGTAAAAATCCTTCCAGCTGCACAGCATCTGATACCAGAGGAAACAATCATCCAAAAAATGTGATTTACATCCAGAAAAAGAGGAATTAAAGTTTCCAAAAGCAAAATCTCAGAATGAAAGTAACAGAGCTGCTCCAACATGCAGCCACCTTGAGCGGCACAATTCTAGAACAAATGGATGGTGAATAAATAGATGGTGGGGGTTAAGGGCCTTGCTCAAGGGCCCAGAGTGGGACAAATGAGGGTGGGGGCAGGTGTGGGTGCTTCACCTACCCCACCCACATTTTTGATGTTGTCGGTACCGGAGCTTGAACCCTCGATCTTCCGATCACAGGCCCACCTTCTCTAACCTCTGCGTCACCACTCCCCAACAGAGCAACTTAATAAATACAAGTTTTTAATCATTGTCGTTACAACATTGAGCAAAGTAATCATGATTGTGACTTCCCTAACATCAGGTGAGGAAAACACCATAGCTCACTAACAGTTTGTCCTTTTTCCTCCTCTCCTCTTAGGTACTCCATGGATCCGCAGTCAGACCCCGAGGCTCTGTTCCGTATCTCCTCCGACACAGGTTTTATTAGTGCAGTGATGGAGTTGGACTGTGAGCAGGAGCAATGGCATAACGTCACAGTCATCGCCACACAGAGGGGTATGACAGTAACCTCCCTGTCCCTGGGGCAGACGGGCAACGTCGCTTCCCAAAATCATATTTCACTGAAGTGGACTACAAATGTTACAAAGTCTGATCATTTGAACATAAGTGTTTGTGTCTTTTCTCTCTCTCTCACACACTCTCTCTCTCTCTCTCTCTCTCTCTCTCTCTCTCTCTCTCTCTCTC